CATCAAATGTTTAGAGGCTAATAAGGAGCATTAAATATAAATTAATTACAAAACTAATTACATAGATGGAGGCTAATTTCCGAGACGAATTTTTAAGCCTAATTAATCTATCATTAGCACATGTTTACTGTAGCACCACGTTGTCAAATCATGGACAAATTAGACTTAAAAAATTCGTCTCGCAAATTAGTCGTAAGTTGTGCAATTAGTTTCATAATTAATCTATATTTAATACTCCATGCATGTATCAAATATTCGATGTGACAGAAATTTTAGCAGGAGGGAAAGGAACCAAACAGGCCCTGTCAGGCTCAGTCGAGGCGGAGTTAGCGAGAGCTGGGACCTGGGAATCAGACTCGTACTTGATAGGACGGAGTCGGCCGGGGCTGGTGCACATCGATCCGCCGAGATGCTGCCGCGTGTCGATGTACTTGCAAAACGCTGCACACCAGCACCTGAGCGATTTGTGCCATCTTGTTGCATGCCCGCATGCAGCCACGTGTAGATGCAAGTTTCATCTTGATTAGTTTGAGTGGCCTGTACACGCCCTCCTTGTTGGTCACGATACATGATCCTTGATCACCGAGACCCCGAATTGGAAATTCTTGGTGCGGTTGAGGTCATCATGCTCCATGTCGTTTCCATGTTGAACGCTGCCGCCGATTCGTCGTAGGTGTTGTTGAAGGAGGCCGTCGCAGCAAGATGAGTTGCCGCAAACAACGTTGGTCTTGAGGTACGCCATCTGGTTCGCCATGGATCAGCACGCACAACCCCTATCTGACGCGCCAACTGTCGACAAAAGATGCTCAACAGTCTTCGAAGGATATCCCATGAAGGTAGATTGATCGGTGGAGGTGTGCATAATCAGGAACCGGATGGTGACACAATGCGTAAAGACAGCGATTTAGACAGATTTGGGACCGTCTAATCGACATAATACCCTACGTCATGTGTCTTTGGTGTATTGTATTGATTTGGATGACCATGTAGATCACCCATGTCCCTCCTTATATGCTCTGGAGGGGTAAGGTTACAAGAAAGTATCATATTTGGTAATATACAATATCTTGCGGTGCACGTCGACCAGTGTCGTGCACGCCTTAATCTTGTGGGCTGAGCCACCTCTGATAATGCGGTCCATGTCTTATCTTATGGGTACCAAGGCCATACCCCCACAGTGATACTTCAAAAACACCATTACATCAAAAAAACAAAAACGAAAGCACAAGTGTACTAGTGAATGATTAATTGAACCCAAGAGCAAGTTCAGTGCCCTTTATTGTTTTCATTTTTAGGAAAACAAAAAATTAGTCATTTTATGACTTCAGCATAACCGTTTTTTTTTGACAATTTTCTCATTATAGTTATTCAAAATATGGGGAAATTTCATAACGACCATTTTTAATTTTCACATTATAGTATCGTTTCCGATCATTTTCATCGTCACGTCGTCATTTTTTCTTCTACTAGAATTGACCCATTAATTGATTAATTAATTTACAAGTACAAATACATCTAAGCACAGAAATTACTAAATTTGTTCTAAATTATAGTTCGTTTGACTTTTTTAACATCAAATTTAACCACTCGTTTTATTTAAAAATTTGTGTAAAATACCACTTCTTTTGTTGTGGCTTGCTTTATTAACAAACGTTCTTTAAAAATGACTTAAAATGACTATGTTTGTACAAATTTTTTTAATAAAACTCTGTTCGCTTGAGCTTATAAGTCAAAACTAGTTCTATTTTTTCAGCCATGGAATAGTGCTTTTCTCTCACAATAAATTAGCCCTACAAATCAGCCGCAGCAGCAATAAGTCCTGCCAAATAGAGTCTAAAACAAGTGGTCAAACTTAGAGTAAAAAAGTCAAACCAATTATAATTTAGAATTAATTAACAATTTAACTACACGCTGATACACTAATCACACTATTCTTATTACACCTCCAAAATTCACCGTTCAAGTGCCTGCTAATCGGTGATATCTACCAGCAGCACTTCAGCGAGCATGATTCATCAGCTAGAGTAGTCGGACATGGCGAACGAGCAGCTCGACGAGCCGCCCTTCGGCAGCGGGCTCCGGGGCGGCGACCGCTGCGCCTGCCCGTCCAGTGCCACTGGCGCGGCGGCGGCGGTCGCCGCCGCTGTGGCGTTGCACGCCGGCTGCTCCTTCCCCTCTTCGGACCTCTCGGCCGGCCGTCTGATCTCCTTGAGCAGCGCGACGACGTCCTTCATCGCCGGCCGGTCTTCCGCACGGTGGGCGATGCAGAGCATGGCGACCGAGAACACCTGCAGCATCTCCTGCACCTGCGTCTCTGGCTTCCCGCGCAGCCGCGGGTCCAGGAGCTCCGCCGTGGCTTTCTTCGCGCGGACGTGCTCCCGCACCCACTGCACCAGGTGTGTGCCGCCCGGCAGCGTCGGGTCCAGCGGGTGCCTCCCCGTCAAGATCTCCAGCACCACCACGCCGAAGCTGTACACGTCGCTCTTCTCCGTGATCCGTTGCATGGACGCGTACTCTGTTTTGTTTTGATTTGAGGCATGCACCAACAAGAATAATGTCAGGGAAAAAATTTACTAGCTTTTCTGAGGAAATAGATGCTACGTATGACGGCTATTTACCTGGCGCGATGTAGCCATAGGAGCCGGCGATGCGTGGCGCCTTGGACGAGTCGAGCTTGGCGGAGCCGCACGCGACGGCGCCGGAGAGGACGCGGGCGAGGCCGAAGTCGGCGAGGTACGGCTCGTTCCGGGGGCCGAGGAGGACGTTCATGGCCTTGATGTCGCCGTGCAGGATGGCCGGCAGGCAGTCGTGGTGGAGGTACGCTACGGCGTGCGCGACGCCGAGCGCGACGTCGTAACGCGCGCCCCAGTCGGCGACGCCCTTGACGCCGCCGCGGTGGAGGAACCCGCTGAGGCTGCCGTTGGGGAGGTAGGTGTAGAACAGCAGCTTGGTGCTGCGGTTGGCGCCCCACCCGAGCAGCCGCACGATGTTGCGGTGCCGGATGGAACCCAGCGCCGAGATCTCGTTGCGGAACGCGCCGGCCTCGTCGGACGACCACATCTTCTTCACGGCGAGGGAGTCGCCGTTGGGGAGGGCCACGCGGTACACCACGCCCGAGCTCCCCGTGCCGATCACGTTCGCCGACGTCAGCGCGCGCACCACCTCGTCCACGGAGAAGTCCAGCTTCTGGTACAGGGTCACCTCCCACGTCTCGTCGGCGCTGTGCCCGTGGATGGCGCCGTTGCGGCGCCGCGACCGCGCGAGCACGTAGGTGGCCATCAGGAGGAGGAAAGCGCTCACCACCACCAGGATCGTCATCGCCAGCTTCAGCGCCGAGACGGCCGCGTGCCGGGAGGCCTCGTCGCCGCCGGCGCCCACGACGAGCAGGTGGTTGCCCGCGATGTCGCTGAGCGGAAGCTTCTGGAAGAAGGGCGTGTCTGGGAGCTCACCGGAGAACATGTTGTACGAGATGTTGAGCATGACAAGGTTCTCGAGCCTCGCGAGGGGCGCAAGGCTGCCGGAGAGCTGGTTGTACGATATGTCGAGGCTGCCGAGCTTATCCAGCTCGCCGAACTGCGCTGGAATCTCGCCGGAGAGACGGTTGTAGCTGAGGTTAAGCGAAATTTCCAGCGAGGGAAGCTTCCCGAGCTCCGGCGGGATGCCACCAGAGAGTGCGTTGTCGCCGAGGTCCAGCTGCTGAAGCTTCTCGCAGGAACCGAGCTCCGGCGGTATGCCGCCGGAGATCCGGTTCTTGCCGAGGTTAAGCTTCGTCAGCTCTGGCAACAACCCAATGCCGGGGCCCAGCAGACCGGTGAGCTTGTTGTCGGAGATGTCGACGAGCTGTAGGCTGCGGGGCATCTCATCCGGCAAAGAGCCAGACAGGGCATTCGAGTGCAGGTCCATGAATTCTAGGTTGTCGCAGCCGGACAGCGCCGCCGGCAATGGCCCGACAAGGCGGTTGCTGCCCAAGTCGAGGAAATTAAGGTTCTTCAGCTTGCCGATCTCCGCAGGTACCGTCCCGGAAAGCCGGTTGTTGTTGAGCCGGAGCCGGTAGAGATTGGTGCAGTTGCCGATCTCCGGCGGTATGAACCCGGAGAGGTCGTTGTCGAGGAGCAGCAGCTTGGTCAGGTTCTGCAGCGCGAACAGCTCCCTCGGGACGGCGCCGGTGAGGTTGTTGTACGAGAGATCCAGCGACTGCAAACCCTCGCACTGGGCCAGGCCCGACGGCACGGGGCCGGTCAGCCGGTTCTGCCACGCGTAGAACAGGGTCAGGTTGCGCAGCCGCGAGAAGTCGATGCCGATCTCGCCGGACAGCTCGTTGTTGTCCACCTCGATGTCGGTCAGCGACGTGCAGTTCGAGAGCTCCGGCGGGATGACGCCTGTGAGCTTGTTGGTGCTGAGCTGCAGCTGCTGCAGGTTGGGCAGCGTGCCGAAGCTGCTCGGGATGGGCCCCGTGAGCGAGTTGAGCGACAGGTCGATGAGCACGAGGTCCTTGCAGTTGGCGATCTCCGGCGGGATGGTGCCGACGAGCTGGTTCTGCCAGAGCAGCACCGTCTGCAGCTTGCGCAGCTGGCCGAGCTGCGGCGGGATGGGGCCCGAGAGGGAGTTCTGGTACAGGTCGAGGCTGGTGAGCTCGGTGCAGTTGCCGATGCTCTTGGGGATGGAACCGGTGAGCATCGCGGTGTAGATGGCGATCGTCTGGATCTTCTTGAGCTGCCCGATCGTCTCCGGCAGGCTCCCGGAGAGGCCGGTCTCGGCGAGGCCGAGCATGCTGAGGTCGGTGCACCCGCCGATCTCCGGCGGCAGCGGGCCCTTAAGCGCCTGGTTCCCGCCGGCGCGCAGCACCTGCAGCTTCTTCATGTTGCCGATGCTCGCCGGGATGGCGCCGCTGAGCTCGTTGTCGTAGAGCGTGAGCGACGTCAGGCTGGTGAGGTTGCCAATGTCGCCGGGGATGGCGCCCAGCAGCGAGTTGGTGTTGAGCGCCAGCGACTGGAGCTTCGTCAGCCGGCAGCCCGGCACAGCTCGGGCGGGATCGCGCCGGACAGCTGGTTCTTGCTGAGGTCAAGCGTGGTCAGCTCGGCGAGGTTGCCGAGCTCCTTGGGGATCGCGCCGGTCAGGTTGGTGCCGGAGAGCACCAGCGTCTTGAGCGACGAGCTCAGCGGCCGCAGCTCCGGCCCCGCCGGGAGCGTCCCGCCGAGGTCGACCGACTTGATGGACAGCGACACGACGTTGCCGCGCGCGTCGCACCCCACGCCCTGCCACCGGCACGGGGTCGCGTCCGCCGCCAGCCACGACGAGTCCAGTGCGCCGCGCGCCGGCCCCTTCCATCGCAGCAGCGCCTGGCCTTGCTCGTTGACGCCGCGGCACGGCGCGAGCAGCGCCGGGGAGAGACACACGAGGAGCGCGATCAGCCTCGCTGCAGTGGTGGCGCGCAGGCGTGGAGGCATTGGTGGAGCAGAGAGTGGCCGAGGCCGCGGGTGAGTGGTGGCACTGGTACCTCCTCGTGCCTTGGGATTGTAGAGCGGGAGACCCCAGGATTTGTTTATAGCACCCAAAAGGTTTAGAGATCTGGATCCAAATGAAATAATGAAGCAATAGCTTAGCTTTTGCAGGATATTCTTTTCGATAAACAACATATTTGATTTGGTACAGTGACTGCCTTGTACAATCTCTACTCTCTAGCCATGGATGATAGATCCTACTGCGCACACCATCGATTCGTCTTTGAGATTTGTGCTCGATCGCTATGGTTTCACTCTGGCACATATCTTGAAGCGGTTTCGACGGTGACCATAGCGCAAATGGTTTCACATTTCCTAGATACAGTGGTGTGTGTGACTGTGAGTGGTCTCTTCTACATGGAATACACATGTTGCAAATTTGGTTCTTGAAGTTTCAGATCAGAAAGGAATATTGGGAATTTTCAATTGAAGTGTGGGGGGAGAAAGAAGATGGAAGGAAGATGGCATGGATGGAGCCCAGATGATGCCATCATTTGGATATGTTTATCCCTAGTTGATGTACTCATTATTGCCATTGGGTGATCCTGAATTTTTAATTGCTTGCTGTTTCTTTTGTAGTGCTGTGCTCTGTTGAGGAGGTGAGTGAGAACATGAACATTTCTTCCTCCTCGGGTTCCGGGAAATGCTAATCGTAATTCCCTCGGTAATCTGAAGCTCTGAACTTTATCCTTTGTTAAGTGCAGTGTTTCTAGCGCCTGTGAAAGTTTGTTCTTTTGTACTGCACTGATGCAGGGTGGTCAGAACTCAGAAGGTAACAGCGGCTGCTGCTGGTGTTTGTTTACTACTTAATTCACGTGCTCTCCTCTGGGCTCTGGGTGTTTACCTTCTAAATGTCTCTGATGGTCTGTCTATCTGCAGTGATTCAGAGCTGCTTCTGTGAAAAAAAGTACAGTATAAATTTGTTGTACTGTGAGAGCAGTAGAAATGATATCCACACCAAATTACACTTCTTCTCTTTTACCAGAGTCAAAGCTGGATCATCATTCCTCAAGCTTTATCAAATCTACACCTCAATGCATGTTTTTCTTGAACTTTACTGTTGTGCCGACGTATTACCTTCTGGCGGTGTCAAAGGAAGATGCAGAAGTGCCAACTCCAGTGAGAGAAAAATCATGCAGTAGAATTCTTCAAAAAAAAAATCATGCAGTAGTGTTGCAGGTGAACATGCTCTCTGTGATCTTGGTAATGCAACCTCTCTGACACCGATGATCTGGCTATCATTTCTTGTATAAAATCAATCCCTCTTAGATCTAACCTGCGTTCATCTTTCCCTGCACTTGTCTCAGATCTGCACAAACTTACGGTAGCAGTCTGCCACAGGTAGTTGTACTGTGCATATATTGCCTTGAGACAATGTTCCAACCTGTGTTAAGATAATTTCATCAGCATGTTATGCTACAAAAAATTTAAGTGTTTCTGTCATATAATTCTACTACTGAGTAGTATTACTGTAATCATCCGACAAGAGAATTGTGCTCTTGCACATGGACAGAGGATTAAACTTTTGGGAGGTCTAGCAGTCTAGCCACTAGCTAGCCACACAACACTAAGCTTCTCTGTATTAGTAATTCACATGGATGAGAACTAAAACACCGCAAGACAGGGTGGTAGTGGTACATCAACCATATGCAAATTCATAAAAAAATTCATATGCTCAATTTACTGTTTCTGCACCTTCTCCTTCTGTGTGGTACTAATTTCCAAGTTCAGAGAGCATGCACGTTCGCATCACATGCCTAACTTTCCAGAGAAACCGAAAGGAGTTCAATAAAATACATGGACCGGCAAACTCTTATTACTGTCTGTGAACTCAATCATAGGCATCAGAGGAGTGTCCGGGTTAAAGAAAATGAGCAAGTGAGGTAGAATAAGATAGGAATCTTAGGGGAGGGGCACATGCAGTAAAGGAGTGTAGGTTAGTATAATACCTATAGAAAGATAAAATATTACTACCAACTTAACCGTGCAAAAGGGTGGCAACCCCGCTGGAAAGTGACAGAAAAAGATTAGGTGCTAGTGAAAATCTGAAACTTTTATCATGAACATGTACATACCTATGAGTAGAAAGAGTCTACGAGAACTTAGAACTATTGTGTTAATAAGATAATGTTTTGCTACATGTTCTAGTTAAATTTATACGTTGGTCACCTAAGCTAATTAGCATCTTTTTCAAGACTCGCCCAAATTTTAATATCAGTTCTATGAAATAATCTCAAATTAGCTTTGTGTTAATAGTAGTATGTACTAAGTCAATGTCATCCAACAAACAGACCACAAGTGCATGAAAAATAGAACACCTTATTAGTTAGATTAAAAATGCGATCACATGAGCGACGGCAAACACGTTAGGGGACATGTTAGCTGTCACACATGACTCGCAAGGTTTAAGTAATAGGGATGGAAGCATCATGGGAATACAGAGACGGCTTTGGATTTAGATCCCATCAAGGTGCTGTGACCTAGTGGTGATGTGATCACAACATGGAGCACACATGGTTAAGTTATAAGGGAGGGCTTATCGCTAGTTTAAATTTTAAATAAGTTGAAACCTATACCTTGTTCTAGCTGTGATGCATGTTCTTTTACATCTCATTCTTCCGTTAGTTCTCTGACACCAGAGCATTTTCCAGCCCTGCTTGCTGCCAAGATCTGATCTGATCTTGTAGTAATTTAAATTTTTCACAGAACATGGCCAAACTGTTTTATGTACTTGGATAGATAGATAGATCCAGTTGATGAGTTCCTGCAGGTACAGTGATCAAAAGCAGGCTATGATTGTGGGTATTACATTTACCGAATGTGGCCTCTGTCAGTTTGGAACATTCTGCTGCAAAGAAGCTGCAGAAGGTTAAACAATGATGAAAGAAGGATTAACATTTAATTACCCTGTCATTAGACGCTTCTTCCAACGTGTTCTTTGCCGAGCAGTACTACTGCTGTCAGAAGGCAAATTACTAGATATTTACAAATGTAGTCAATTTCAGTTGTACCGAGCACCGCTGTTGTACCAGTATATATATCAGGGGCGAATCTAGGATAAATCGTCACGGGGTCGGACTATACTTACAGACCATAACTATAGTTGATAATAATCTAACACCATACATAAAAAGAATAATATACTGTAAATAGTAAGCATTCATACAGGGATAAATGTGACAATAACATAATCCGACAAAAAAAACTATTTACAAAAGTGGTTAGCTCTTATAGTTTCACCCTGCGAGTACGATCATCCATATTCTGAAAACGAACTATGATATCATCATTTGGAATTGCATCAAGAAATTCTTGCTCAACGAAGCAAATGACACAATCATTCATAAATCCATCGCCGATTCGGTTTCGCAGGCCCGTCTTCACAATTTTCACTATTAGCAACTAACTTTAGAAAAATCTTATTATGCCTAATTTAGCCACTAAACACACCTTCCCACCGACGCCGTCGCAATAGGAAGAACTAGCACAAGTTTAAGGAGCCGATATACCAAAGAAAAAGAAAGATTTTTGTTTGTATCCACCATTAGTTTACCAAGCTCAGAAATAGTGGCCACATGCCACTTGGGCAAATCTAGCATCAGCTCGCACATTGTCGATGTAAATATTAAGCTCAATAATAAGATCATCTAGGTCCCTTGGATCAAAATCATCAGGATATGCCTTAGCCAATTTCATCAAACTCTCAATTTTGAATGCATCAAAAGAATTCTTTGGACTAAAAGCATCAATGTTGGTAAGCAATTCAGAATTTTACTGTTGAAACGGTCATCAAATTCTGCAAGCTGTAAATCAATAACTGGGTTCAAGCAATCATATTTGTAGTGTTGATAGTTGGTGCGGTTGGTCTTCTTCCTTGGTTTGTGCCTATCAATGTACTCTTGTTCCATGTCTAACTTTGGGATGCTATGTGTCGGTGTTTCGAGTTGCCACCAACAAGTAAATTTCTAATATTGTGCGTATGGCTCGGATGGTGTGTTAAGAGGACACGAGGTTTATTTTAAATGGTTGTTCTAGCTGTGATGAATGTCCCTCACGTCCGTTTCGTTCATTTTCCAGCCTGCTTGCTGCCGTGTTACTAGTAATTGAAAGTTCAGAAATGGCCAAACTGTTTTATGTACTTGGGGTTATAAGCAGGCGATAGAGGGACATTGTGGGTCCCAAGTCTCTGTCATGGAAAGGGTGAAAGAAGGTGCCGAGAGCTTGAAAGAAGGATTAACTTTCGATTGTATGTTCGGGGTTTGGTGGATCGATCGGATTCGAGTCCGATGGTTCGATGCGATGTGTTGCGATCGTTCGTTCGATGATTCGATGCCCCTTGTGGGACGCCATGCTTTCCCTTTTATAGGCCAAGGGAAAGCATGGGTTACAGTCGAAGGAAAAGGGGAGAACGAGAAGGAGAATAAGTCTTCTAGGATCGCCGGATCCTTCATTTCCTTCACGCGGGTCCCGCCGATCCTATAGACGCCACTCGAGGATAGCTTCGTCGTGGGCTAGCTCGCTCTATCATTGGTGCCATAATGCTAGGCGTTCAAAATCATCAGGATATGCCGCCGGTCATCAAACTCTCAATTTTGAATGCTCCAAAAGAATTCTTTGGCGGAAGCATCAATGGTGTTGAAACGGTCATCAATCGACGCGCTAACTCAATCGGTGTTCAATCATATTTGGGGTTAGGTTGATGCGGTTGGTCTTCTTCCTTGGTTTATGCCTATCGACTCTTGTTCCATGTTCTGGGGACGTGAACCCCAAGTATGTCCCGTCGTGGGTGGTGTGCTAAGAGGCTACATCGAGGCATGCCAGTCTCTTCCTTGGTGTCAGAGCTTTGACCCAGGCCCATACGCTTGGACCTAGAGTGGTTGGTGGTGGTATGGGTCTCTGTCGGGCGAGATGGAGCCCCCGGCCTCGGGGTTGGGCGAGGCAGAGCG